AAACTAAAGTCATTTTATAGTTAATCTCCAAAAATTAAAATTCCAGCATTTTCAATATCTTAGTTAAAATTTTGGGCTATGTTAAAGCTATTAAGATTCTATAGATGCAAAGATTTAAGCGTCAATATTTCAATAAACGCAGTCTTAAATGCACCTTCATTAATTTCAATGAATTAGAGCAAGATGTCATCAATGAAAACTTGCGTATTAGGTGCATCAAACTGAATCAAATTAGTACCATTATATAAGTGTATCTATTCCAAAGAGAAGTTTTTGAATATAATGAAAGTTTCGATTTGCTAATTCTAATTATTCAAATTATTTCTTTAAACTTTGATCAATTTCATGTTTAGTTTGTTTGCATTTATCATAAATCCAACTATATCAGATATCATCAATTAAGGATCTTCCTTGGATGATTCTATAATTTCATTTAATGTAATGTTAAAAAGTTGACCATCCTGCCCATATTCTCTCTATTAATACTAAAAAATATTTGACCCAATCATATTTAATTCTACATTACTAATTTTCAAGTTTTCTGCCTTAATGTTGAATATTGCTTGCTTACAAAGAATACATTCAAAATTATCGATTCTTATATTACTAATTTTTAAATTTTAAGGAAGCTAAAATGCCTAATTGTCGTTAAGATCCAAAAGCAAAGATTATTAAAAATCATCTCCTATTTAGGCGTAAACAACATCTTAAATATCTAAACCATTCTCAAAATAGCTAATCAATTTGGCTTATACTTTATCAGTGTATGCAAATATAGGTTAAATACCTGCTTAAACTCTTAGATCTGTTAGATTAGCAAATACATCATTTAATTAGCTACTCATGTATCCTTATTAATTCCATATTTTGAATCTATCTACAATTAATTAGCCCTTGAAATTTTCTAAGGCAAGCACCTAGGATCGATTAGGAAGATAATCTAATTAAATCATCCAATTTTATTTAGCATAAATATTATTAATCTCCAAATAAGCTGAATTAGTTATAACATAAAGTGACCTCATTAACATATCTTAATTCTAATAACTCAAGGACTTAACAAAAAAATCATTAACTAATTATGTGAAGCTCAGATATGATCCATTTATTTATTCCAAACCAATGGGCTGATAATATCCATAATTTAAAGTTTCTTGACAAGATTCTCCATTTTTTAAAAGTTATTCATCTAAAATTCTTGTTCTAAAACTTCCACTTATATCAATTATTCCCGAGCCACCAGAAACATAGTTCTCATGGTAAGAATTAAGCTTTAGACTATTAATATTGAGATCAATAATGTAATTTTCCTAGCCAAAAGCAAATTAAAACTCATTTAACTAAATCCAATTAAATTAAATTTCATCTAAATTAATCTAGTCGTTATAGTATGTTTCCAAGGAAGCTATCTTATCATTTGGAAAAAGTGACTGCTAATCATTTTGTAAGCATTCATACTTCACTAATGCTCCTGAGTAGAGGGGGCATCCCATATTTTATTTAAATGTGTTCTTAATCAAATGAAAACCTGAGCAAAATGAATCCTCATCTAAATCATCTTAGAGCAATTTTGTATTTTTTAACTATTTTACTCGATGTCTAATATTTATTATATTCGATTCAAAATAACCAAAGTTATTAGCGAATGAATTCCCCAAAATTAGAATTCTATTTTGATTTTATTTATTTACATCTAGTATTATTATGCCCTTAGTGCCACCATTCTGATTAAAAGTATTGTTGATAAGATCTACATTATGACTATGCTTAGTTACCGAAATTAAAGAGTGAATTTTTAATCTATCCTTTTCACCAAGACTTTGATATTCATCCTTTTGATAATTTAAATTGTTATTGAATATCTCTTTGCCTATATCACAATTCTAATATTTAACATAATTATATTGGAATTAGCTATCTTGAATGATAACATCGCCCTGAAAGTTTTCCAAGTTTAATATACTCCCATAGTTTTTATATTATGTTTCCTAGTTTATAAATAATGTACCTAGTTATTTCTTAAGAGACCCTATTTAAAAAAACTATGATTCTTTGATTAATATCGAAAAACAAGGTATTTCTAGTGAATTTTTAGATTTTATTGAGCAATTTAGCTTAGATTTATTTGATAGTAAAAATTATTGGTCTTTCAAAATTTATCTCTACATATCTCTTATTTCTGAGAGACCTATGCCAAAAGGAGTTTCATTATTATTACTTTATACATTTATGATTGGCTTTTTATTCCCAATTATCGAACCACATGAATTAATATTATCAAAAGTTACTTAATCAAGTATAAGATGACCATTAGAACCATTAATCTCTATTAAGCTATTAAAATTGTAGATAAAATTTTTGAATAGAACATTCTAAAAAACTGATAAAACGTAAAATTTCTAACTTTAATATCTAGTCTCTATGGAACTTGTAACAATGATTGGGGACTCTCATTAAATTCAATGAATGAACCTTGACTTTAAATTTCGCAAGAATCAATTCTAAGCAATTAAATAATAAAATATACACAAAATTTTACAAATATTTTTTCTCAAGGCAGTCCTCTGTCCCACAACAATTTATCAATCCATTTTAAAGACATTTGTTGATATCTTCTTTAGGAGTAAGCTAAGAATCTATTGCATCAAATATCAAATTTCGTAATTCAAGACCACCACCCACTTTAAATCTCCATTTGTCTCTCATTTTATAAAAAACTTATTGAGGTAAACCATCTTCTGTATCAATAGTTATCTATGTTGATTATGAATACTGGTCATAAAGACTGGGCATGTAAAAATCAGAAACCTATCTTAGAATAGCATGATTCAAGTCTGGTTTTGACTTTAAAATTATTTTTATCTTTGATGAAGTATATATACCTCCAATTTCATATGCCCTTGATATAGCATCTGGCAAGCTTTTTATGCCTCTTTCATAGGAACCTAATTAATGATCAAGATTTTCCGTTTCTTCTAATGGAAAATAAGGTTCAACATAAATAGTGTCTTCATAATATTAGTCTATCTTTGTTAAACATCTTCCAAACGTTTTATTTTTTGCTACCGATAGGTATTTCCCTTTATTACAAGATGTGCATTTATCAAAGTCAATGCATTCAAAGCAGTCTTCTTAGCATTTAATACATTTTGATTCAATAATATATCCTCTTTCATTGAATACAGACTTACCAAAATATCCATAACCGCAGTTACTAACACACTACCCATCTTTAACGAAGCCATTAAAACAAGCAAGAACCTCAAAAATTTGAAGAGTTTAAGAAGCATCTTGATAATTGAATGAGCAGCGAGAAATACTATTTAATTAATTATCTTTGTTACAGTCTACAGTGTAAATTATTAATTATTTTATTTCCTACCACCACACTACAGGAAGTTTTTGCTGATTAAAGAAAATCCTTCTGCACAAATTAGACATTCTTACTCATTAGATGGATAGATACATGTTCCTATTCCCTCATCTATTTTAATGGAGTTAAAATATAAAAATGATTACATTTTTTACATCCATCATATTACAAATTAGATTAAATCAAAGATTTAATGAAATATCCTTCTTTGCAAACTCTGCAATTTAAGTCGTTCATAACATCAAAATGGATGCAATTCTTATCTTGACTTTATCATGAGATTTGATTTAGTTCTACATAATTTAGAAATAACAAATAGACTACTGCATTTATCTGCTGATTATAGTTTTGGGCAGGTCAAGCAAAGTGATGAGTTTTAGGCTGTGCAATTAAGACAAAATTCAGGTCCTTTACACCCTATATATGTATTTTGAAGAGTTTTAATCATGATTTTACTTTAACATTCAGAAAATTGTCTGCTGAGTTAAGAATATAATGAAATTCTGATACTTTCATTGGAAATAATTAAATTTTAACTTGTTGTTTAAAGATTAGAAGATAATGGCTTTGATATAACCCAGCTATTTAAATTTGCAGCAGGATCACAATATTCACAGCCATATTTAATGTTACAATTGTTGCAGTTTTTTCCACAATCTATATAGTAAGCATATATCATATTGTAAGAAATTTACTTAGACACATTCCAGAGATTGGATCAGCAACATAGTTAAACTAAGACTTCTAGCAATCAGAAACACAATAGTTTAGAGTTATTTTATAATCAGATGAGAATCGTATGTTTCAGTTTGAAAGATATAAGTTATCTTGACAGGATAAGCATGTCACAAAATAAGACTGCAATTTTTCGTCATATTATTCTAAGCATTCACTGCATCCATACAAAGAATCAGCGCATTCTAAAATATCAGTATGATTAAATTACTTGTGCATATCTAGAGCTGAGTTGAAAAATACTCGTCAATATTTAGACCTATCATTCGTTAAATATTTGATTTTTACAACTAAAATAGACGCCTAATATAGTTGCTATGATCTAGTAGTCTTTGAAAGATATTTAGAAATAGGGAAACATATTTAAATATGAAATTATTTTTCAATAAAATTATTGGAACTAAAAATAGGAATATATTACTTCATTTCCAAAAAGTCTTAATCAAGCATCAAATGACATTCATGGGGTTTTGGGGTTTTGGGG